TACCTTTCTACCTATCAAAGCTGGACTATTATGTGGTCATTTTTCTCTCAGCTAGCAGTTCCCCTACAAAAACTCCAATAAATTTGGCAGTGTGCTGTGGCTCAAGCCTGTAATCCCAGCACTTTGGGAGGCCGGGGCGGGTGGATCACGAGGTCAGGAGATCCAGACCATCCTGGCTAACACGGTTGAAACTCCGTCTCTACTAAAAATACAAAAAAATTAGCTGCGCGTGGTGGCGGGTGCCTGTAGTCTCAGCTACTCAGGAGGCTAAGGGAGGAGAATGGTGTGAACCCGGGAGGCGGAGTTTGCAGTGAGCCAAGATTGCACCACTGCACTCCAGCCTGGGCGACACAGCTAGACTCCGTCTCAAAATAAAAAAAATAAAATAAAATCCAATCAATTCCATCTAACCAAAATGCTAATTAATAATCATTTAATAAAGGAGAGCCCAACTTCTTTACAGTACAGTACAGTGGACCAGTACTGGTCCATGGCCTGCCAGGAACCAGGCAGCACAGCAGGAGATGAGTTATGAGCAAGCATTACTGTCCTTGCTCTGGGCTCCAGGTCCTGTCAGATCAGCGGTAGCATTAGATTCTCATAGAAGCGCGAACCCTATTGTGCTGTGCATGCAAGGAATCTAGGTTGCATGCTCCTTATGAGAATCTAACTAATGCCTGATGATCTGAGATGGAAGTTTCATCCTGAAACCATTTCGCCCACAACTAAACCATCCGTGCAAAAATCGTTTCCTACTAGACTGGTCCCTGGTGCCAAAATGGTTGGAGATCTATGATTTAATGGATTTCCCTTCCCAGAGGGAAATCCTTTTAATAACGACTTTGGCCAGCCTGGGCAACATGGTAAGATCTCATCTCTACAAATAAAAAAACAAAAAAAAAATCAGGTGTGGTGGTGTATGTTTGTGGTCCCAGCTAATCGGGAGGCTGAGGTAGGAGGATCACCTGAGCCCAAGGAGGTCAAGGCTGCAGTGAGCCATGATTGTGCCACTACACTCCAGCCAGGGTGACAGAGTGAGACCCAATCTCAAAAAAAAAAAAAAAAAAAAAAAAAGTTAAAAAGAAAAAAAGGACTTCTGAAGACCTCAGTGACAGATATGTTAAGGAAATCTAAGGAATCTAAAAACTACTCTGGTGCCTCAAGTCAGTGACATGGGTGACCACATCTATTGCCTATGTTTAACACAAACCTTGTTAAGGAGACCAAATCAATGAATGTGAGGGTGAGAGTTGCCTTAAAAATCATCTAGGTCTCTGAGTCATGATTCTTGAACTTGGCTACACACTGGAATCTCCAACTCCCAGAGAAGATACCCAAAGAAGCAAATTTCAAAGTCAGTGACAAGGACAGGCCTAATACCCATGCCTAACATTATGTGCTGATATGTGTACATACATACATATATATACACACATGCATACACACATAAATATATATAACATACTAAAAATATAAAGGCATGTATGGGAAGGACAAATATCCAATTCATGGCAATGGTTACCTTTTGGGGGATGGGAAGGGAGTGTAATTGAGAAGAAATACACGTGGTGGCGTCAAATGTATTGGTAATATTTTTATTAATAATGTTCTCTTTTTTTGTTTTGTTTTGTTTTTATTTTTATTTTTGTTTCTTTGAGGCAAGGTCTCACTTTGTCATCCAGGCTGGAGTGCAGGTGGCACAATCACAGCTCACTGAAACCTGCCACTGCTGGGCTCAAGCAATCCTCCCACCTCAGCCCCACAAAGTGCTGAGATTACAAGGCATGCACCACCGCAGTAGGCCCTCTTTATCTTTTGGATGTCTAAAATTTTGTAATAAAAAAGAATAAAAAGATGGTATATAATCAAATGGATACCATGTTATGAATTCAGTGAAATATCTCAGGCTAGAAAGTACTCAGAAAACATACTTGATGAGGTAGGCTTTGAAGGAAGAATAAAACATAGATTATTCTTCAGGCAAAAAGTAACACAAACTTTTCTAAAGGAAAAGTGTGAATAAAGGCAAAGCTGGGAGTACCCACAGCCTATAACATAAATAAAGAACAGTGGGGGCCAGGCACGGTGGTTCACGCCTGTAATCCCAGCACTTTGGGTGGCAGAGGCAGGTGGATCACCTAATGTCTGGAGTTGGAGACCAGCCTGGCCAACATGGCTAAACCCTGTCTCTACTAAAACACAGAAATGAGCTGGGCATGGTGGCACCCACCTGTAATCCCAGCTACTCAGGAGGCTAAGGGACGAGAATCGCTTGAACCAGGATGGTGAAGGTTGCAGTGAGCCGACATTGCACCACTCCATCTCAAAACAAATAAAACAAAACAAAATAGTTTTGAAAACCACTGGACTAAAGTGCCCAGCTAGAAGGTACTGCTGCAATTCAAAAGTGAGGGTCATAAAACCATGGAATGGGTTTTATGGGGTAGTACTCTTGAGAAAGAAAAGAGAAAAAATTAATCCACCAACTTTTCAATAGAAAATTTGATAGGCTGTAGTGACAAACTAGATGGGTTAATGAAAGAGTAAGACCTACCTTAAAAAATGAAAAATGCCAACTGAGCAGCAGCTTCTAGTCATACCCGAACATCAACAACATCGATAAGGCCATGTAAAAGTCAGCACTAAGGAAGTGTTATTCAAGGCAGAAAAGCAAAATGGCACTTTTATAGGCATTATGAGCAGAATAAGCAACAGAGACCAGGAGATTACAGAAAAAAGAGGACCACTACATCATGGAATAAGAAAGAGAGTTTCGAAAAGAGCCATCACTGTATACAATGAGAGGGTGCACAGCCTTTGTAGCCAATCAGATGCAGAATTCTGGCACCTTCTCTACTTGATCAAGTTATTTAGCCTCTTTGAGCCTCATATAATAAAGAAAACATAAGTTAACAACTAACACTGTTGAACACATAGGGGCTTCGAATATATTGGTCAAATTTTATTTCTTAAGCTCAGTTGTGATACATAAATATTTATTAAATTAGACCCCATTATCTTTTGTTGTTTTTGTTTTGTTTTTGTTTTTTTTTGAGACAGGGTCTTACTCTGTCCCAAGTGCTTTACATATCACCTCATTTAATCCTCACAATACATTTCCACAGATGGAAAAATTAAACTTAGAACTAGCATAATAAGTAGCAGTGCCAGGATTACTATTTCTTAGGATTTAAATAATGTATATTTAAATTTCCTGGCAAACAGGATGACCTCAAAACGAGTAGCTATATTTCATTATTAGGAGATAATAATCAATAGGGACAAAACTGCCAGTAATTCCTGTCATAGCCTTCCATGTGGCAAACTCCCTCAACATCCTCATCTATAAATTAGGATTAATGCCTATAATCCAACCTACTACATAGGGTTGCTGTGAGGATTAAATATTATGAATACGAAAATTCTTAAAATGTTGAGACATTCAAATATAAGGGATTGCTGTCACATACCTTTTGCCTTTTCAAAATGCCTTTGTGGCATTTTTGTTCACTACTTCAAAATAAGACTCTCTGAATAAGCTAAAAATAAGTATGTTAAATGTGCAACCACCACTTTGAAAAGTATAAATCACCACAGAATTACCGCCTACACCTGCCCCTGACTCCTCCAGGTTCTCTAATGTCTCTACAAGGGCAAGGATTCTCTTACACCTATAATGAAACTCTGATAACTTACAGTACAGCTAATCAATAGAGAGCTGCACTTCAATTCAGTTGCTCCAACGGCCTATTGTGTTTTCTCAGAAGTGCTCCTTACAGTTCTTCCAGAAAAGAAAAAAGTGCCCAATTCTCTTATATTGTATTAAAACGGTGCCCAGTGAGTCGAATGCAGGTAACTTACGAAATGCTAGAAAATAATCTATCAGTTGACTTACTCAAGGGCTCTGACAGCAGGTCCCTTTTGGAAACTCCTTCACGACTCCCCCCTTTTTTCACCTGAACAGATGGCTTCCAGGCCTCAAGGTTCACTTGTCTAGTCATACAATTCACAATAGCCCCCAAAGTTCCTACCTTTTCAATTATCCTACGTTCTTGAACACACCTTTCATCTAAAGATCTCCAGCTGTCAAAGCAAACGATCTCTTTAATCTTCACAACAGCACTATCTGAGAGATTACTATCCTTATTTTAAAAGTTAAAAATGAAAGACTGAGTAAATGTTTTAGCAACAACAGACAATTCGTTAACTCATTCTTGGGGAGAGAGGAATGCATATTATGAACTTCTGTCAATGGACAACCTAGATTTGGCTTCCTAACATCATCGCAAATATTAGCTCAAACACATCCCACTCTTGTATGCACACATTTCCAACACAGGTATCAAAGATTAAATATAAACCATTAATAACAGTAAATACCATACCAAAGCAGCACTATTTTTACACGCAAATCTATATTGGGGGAGGGGGTTCTAATTTAAACTTCCCACTGTCTTGAATCCATAAATACTTTTGAACTTGAGGGGTTAGGCGGAGGAACACCTGTCAGAGCAGCACATCCACAATGTTTTACAGACTGTGTAGCTATTAATATTTAATTCCTTAAGCCGTAAGCAAACCACCTTCTCAAAAAAAACAAAAGGCAGTATTATGCAGAACATTTGACAAGAAAGTCTACGTGGTTGTAAGAAGACCAATAATTCCCTGGTTTTAAGTCTCCCAGACTTTGTGAACTTGCTACGAGGGATCACCCCACCCGCCCCGGGAGGTCAGGCCGCAGGGAGCCCGGCGCTGCCCACCCGACTTTCCACGCGCCAGGCCCGCCGGCCGCAGGGGAGGCTCCGGCTCCCACTCCCCTCAGGCCCCCTCGCCCCGTAGACGGACTCGGCGGGACACTCGGACCAGCCTCCCGACCTCGGCGCGCCCGGCTCAGGGCCCGGCGGGCAGGGAGAGGGTCGCAGCAGGGCCTGGCCTAGCCACCCCCGCCCCGCGGCCGCCGGCGCCGCTTCCCTCCTTCTTCCCGCTCCCCGATTCGTTACCTCTTAGGCGCCGGCGGCTGCTCCATGGCGGCCGGGGGCAGAGAGAGGGACCTGGTGGACTGCGAAGGCCGAAAGGAGGAAAGGAGACCGGGCACCGGCTGGCCGAGCCTAAGGAACCACAGAGGGAAACTCTGGGAACTCGGACCAACTTTCCCGTAACTCCGCGGCGGATCTCCCTCCCGCTTCGGAGCGCTGCTCCTACCGCCCCGCCCCCGGCCGCCGGTCGCCTGCCTCCGGCAGCGGCCCAGAGAAGGTGGGCGGAGCCGGGCGCCGCGGCGGGGGGCGGAGCCTGCCGCGGCCTGGGCTGGCGGGCGGGGCTGGTGCCGCGGCGGGTGGGCGGGGCTGGTGCCGCGGCGGGTGGGCGGGGCTGGGGACGAAGGCCGGGCTGACCCCAGAGCCCCGTGACCGGGAAAAGGAGGAGGTTCGGCTAGAGCGAGGGGGCGAGGCCGGAGCCGCTCTAGCCTGGGGAAGGGCGAGTCCCTCCGAGCTGGCCCAGTGCTCCGCCCCTCGCTTGCCCTCGATACGGTTTTCCCCGATCCAATTTGACTCATTTCTTTGGCTTTCCCAACGATACATCCAAACATCGTGTGAATCCGTTTGAAGTATTACTTTCTAACTGCCCACGCTTCCCTCTCTAGTTCTGTTTATAATTATCGGTTATGTTTTTCCCCCAGCCATTTGGCATGTGTAGGCCGCAGTACTAGGGATACTTCTGGAAATTCTTGTTTGATTTTTATTGTAGACAAGCTCCTCGCTACATTTCACAATAATTACATCTAATTACCGAGAAAATAATTAATGCAGTGAGATCTCTCGGTGATCTCACTGAACCAAACTGAACCAAATTCAGTTGCACTGGGTCCTTGCAGCTGTCCCATTGGGTAACCTGGCAAGCCTGCACAAATTATGGTGACAAGAAGAATACTCAAGAAAAGTGTGCTTGGTTCCCTCTTTGGTCCTCTCCCCTAACCTGATCCCAGTAGTCCTCATCCCATTGTAATTTGACCACTGCATGCATCCATATTGTGGGTATACTTTTAACCTTAAATTCCATGTATAGATACCTTTCACATAACAATATACAGCTGCTACATGAGTTTACCTGTTTTTGTCAGAAATTGTCAAGATGGGCCGGGCGCGGTGGCTCATGCCTGTAATCCCAACACTTTGGGAGGCCAAGGCGGGCGCATCACTTGTGCTCAGGAGTTCAAGACCATCCTGGCCAACATGGTGAAACCTCGTCTCTACTAAAAATACAAAAGTTAGCCGGGCGTGGCGATGCGCCTGTACTCCCAGCTACTTGGGAGGCTGAGGCAAGAGAATCACTTGAACCCGGGAGGCAGAGGTTGCAGTGATCCGGAATCGCGCCACTGCACTCCAGCCTGGGTGACAGAGCAGACCTTGTCTCAAAAAAGAAAAAGAAAGAAAGAAATTGTCAAGATGTAGAGTTATAAGAATTTTCTTGGCGGTTAGAACAATAAATATGAAGATAATGCTAAATAAAGGAAATGAATTTGAAGAGAATGTTGAATAATGTGAATATTTGCCCAGATTAAACTTGACTGTTAGCAGCTAATACAAGTTTAGTTTAGTCCTCTTGTTGCATTAAGTTTCACTATGTAATAAACTTACATTATTTATTTTCAAACCATTATATTCTTCCCCAAATTTAGTTATTTTAAGGCCATTCATTTTTGAAACTCAAATTATGAGAACAAGAAAAAGGGTTTTTTTGTTTTGTTTGTTTGAGACAGGTTCTCACTGTCCCCCAGTCTGGAGTGCAGTGGTGTGATCATGCCTCTCTGCAGCCTCAACCTCCTGGGTTCAAGCAGTCTTCCCAACTCTGCCTCCCAAGTAGCTGGGACTACAATGCCCGGCTACAAAATTTTATACTTGTTTGCATTTATTAAAGATCCACAGTCTGACTGTTCAGAAATAACAGGACAACAACAATTTTAAAACCTAATATTTAAAATGTTAAACCTGAGAAGAATCTTTGAAATTACCCCACTCTAACCCCCTAACTCTCATCTTCACTTCCATGGCATACTCCCATCTTTTTTCTTTTTTCTTTTTCCACTCTTGTTGCCCAGACTTGAGTGCAATGCCGTGATCTCGGCTCACTGCAACCTCCGCCTCCCTGGTTCAAGAGATTCTCCTGCCTCAGCCTCCCTAGTAGCTGGGAATACAGGCACCCACCACCATGCCCAGCTAATTTTTTGTATTTTTTAGTAGAGACAGGGTTTCACTATATTGGCCAAGCTGGTCTTGAACTCTTGACCTCAGGCAATTCACCCACCTCAGCCACCCAAAGTGCTAAGATTACAGGCATGAGCCACCGTGCCAGGCTCACTCCCATCTTTTTGTGTTTCATCAGAGAAACCTCTTGAGGAAGGCTGGGCGAGGTGGCTCACACCTTCAACCCCAACACTTTGGGAATCCAAGGCAGGCAGATAGCTTGAGCCCAGGAGTTCGAAAACAGCCTGGGAAACATGGTGAAACCCCATCTCTACAAAAAAAAAAAATACAAAAAAGTAGCTGAGCATGGTGGTATGCACCTGTAGTCCCAGCTACTAGGGAGGCCAAGGTAGGAGGATTGCCTGAGCCCAGGAGGCCAAGACTTCAGTGAGCCATGATCAAGCCACTGTACTCCAGTCTGAGCAATAGAGTGAGACCCTGTTTCAATAATGAGAGAGAGAGAGAGGAAGGAAGGAAGGAAGGAAGGAAGGAAGGAAGGAAGGAAGGAAGGAAGGAAGGAAGGAAGGAAGGAAGGAAGACAGACAGAAAGAAAGAAAATAAATGATCTCTGAATTGTTTTATCAACTGTAATCTCCAGGGAGCCTTTCCCAGTCAAACCACCAGTACCATCACCCACTATCTGTCACATTTAAGTTGTGAAAGAGATACCCGTCTTGTATATATGTCCATAGCAGCCTATGTTGGCTTTTCTATGAAACTTTTCACACTATATTGAAGCTCTGTTGTTAGACTGTCATCCCAACCCAACTATGAGTTGATTGAAAGTTGAGCCATATCTTTATTCTCTATACCTTGCATAGCAAGTGCCTGATACATCGTAAGGGCACTGGGCTAGATAGCTTCCTTTTGGTCCTGCAGATTCATTCTCCATCCTTTTCCATCTGCTCTCTGCTCTGAGAGCTAACATGTATGGCTGACATCAGAAGCCCCTTGGCTTATGGTTGGGTCCAATGATAGACCCAGCAAAAGATCATCTGAGGGAGAAAGGAGGGTGAGGTCAGACTATTGGATGCCCTGGTTCCCTTCCTGTGAGGTGACCTAGGGCTAGCTGTGTTCCAGAGAATCATGGCTCTTTGCAAGGCAAATTACTCTACCTATTATCCCTCCTTCCCCTTGACCCTTTGGGCCTAAGTGTCATGGCTGCTCTCCTATTCCCTGGGTTTCTTCTCTATGTCCTGTGTTCCCCAACCTCAATCCTCAACTGATGCTTTGTAAATTAAACTCCTTCAATTGACCCTAATTTGATTGTACCTTCTAAAGGGCTTACGATCCTGACTCATACACCCATAAAGAATTGTGGAAGGAGGAGGAATACTATCAGAAAATAAATTTCTGAGGTCTTTCCTCAACTTGAAAAGGGAGAAGGCTAATAATTATCATACAACTCCAACAGGATCAGACACTTGGCCTCCATTTTCTTATTAAACCCTTAAAACAACCTTGTGAAGTAGTTACTTCCATTTTATATGTGAGAAAACTGAGGTTCAAAAGTGTGAAAGGAGTTACCTTAGGATAAACAGAATGTCTGTGTTCTAATCCAGGCCTTTATGACTCCAAAGCTGGGCCTCATTCCACTGTAGATCAGTCAACAAATATTTATTGAGCACTTAAGTATGCCAGGCACTGTTCTAGGTGTTGGAGATTCATCAGTAAAGAGACGAGATGACAAATAGACAAAAATCCCTGCCTTCAGGGGGTTTACATTCTGGTTGGGGAAACATAATAAGATAAAAAAAAGTACCTAATGGGTCATGTTAGAGATTGAAAACTGGTAAGGAAGAAACATGAAATGGAAAAAGGGAATATAAAGTGGAGGGGAAGAGGCCAGATGCAGTGGCTCACACCTATAATCCCAGCACTTTGGGAGGCCAAGGTGGGCAGATCACTTGAGGTCAGGAGTTTGAGACCAGCTTGGCCAACATGGTGAAACCCCGTCTCTACTAAAAAAATAACAAAAATTAGCCGGGTGTGGTGGTGGACACCTGTAGTCCCAGCTACTTGGGAGGTCAAGGCAGGAGAATTGCATGAACCCAGGAGGTGGAGGTTGCAGTGAGCCAAGATAGAGCCATTGCACCCCAGCCTGGGCAACAGAGCAAAACTCTGCCTCAAAAAAAATAAATAAATAAATAAAAATAAAGTGGAGGGGAAGTGATGAATTTCAGGTAGGATGGCAAAGGAAGGCCTCAATGAGAGAGTGACTAAGGAAGTGGAGGCCAGAGCCATGCAGACAGCCTGACTGTGAGGCCAAGGGAATGTTAGAATGTGAGGCCAAGGGAACAATAAGCGCTAAGGCCCAGAGGCAGGAGTGTGCCTGGTGTGTTGTGTGTTACTGAATAAAAGGAATTGTTTTTCTCCTGAATTATTCAGAAGAAGAAAAAAAAATGCTTCAAGCTTCTATTTTACTTTGTCTGTGGAAAACCAACCTGAAGATTCCAGGAGGAAAGCATAGAAGTCATCATTCAAACTGCAAATAAGAACATGAACAATGAAAGCTGCAGGAACATTTGAGATACAGATAGGGGTCACCCAGCTTCACTTAACTGTGAAAGTAAGGTAATCGGCCAGGCACAGTGGCTCACGCCTGTAATCCCAGCACTTTGGGAGGCCGGGGTGGGTAGATCACGAGGTCAGGGGATCAAGACCATCCTGGCTAACAGCGTGAAACCCCGTCTCTACTAAAAATACAAAACAATTAGCTGAGTGTGGTGGTGGGAGCCTGTAGTCCCAGCTACTTGGGAGGCTGAGGCAGGAGAATGACGTGAACCCGGAAGGCAGAGCTTGCAGTGAGCCGAGATTGCACCACTGTACTCCAGCCTGGGTGATGGGGCAAGACTCCATCTCAAAAAAAAAAAAAAGGAAAGTAAGGTAATCTGTTTCTGCTTCCATCAGCTCCATTTGGAATCGAGATTAAAGATACACTTTAATTATACTAGCAAACAGCTGATTACAATTCTCAGTTGAG